AACTGAAATGGACTTGAACAGTCATAACACGATCACGCATCCACTCCAGCCCTCCGCAAAGCCACCCGTCACACCATCCTCTTCTGGCTTGAGTACGACAGTGCCGCCTCGCATTTACAGTGCAACTGGGTGTTTCATCTTTCATCCCATCAAAATGGTATTTTCTTTTTAAGCTTTCCGTAGGGAACCTGACATAACCCTCACCCCCTGACTCCAAGGCTGTGGTTCTGCCTTATGCCCCTCTCCAACAGAAACGAGTGAATGGCTCAGTCTCCTGGAGTGTTTAACACCAACTCTTCCTCATGGCTGCAGCAATGCTTACAGCCACTGCAAGGCTTCCTACTTCTGTGCTCTTTGAGCTGCTCAACAGATCTCTGTTGTTGTTGCACACACAGCTTTTGGGGTGTGTATTGTCAGGCTGTCTATACCAAGGTGACTTCACTCTCTCTTTGCAGTAGATGAAAGTGCTAAAACTGCACGCAAAGGAGAAAAAAGGCATAGGACAGTATCCTGTACAAGGTGCAAGCCAGCACTGCGGAACCAGTTCCTTGGGTCACACTCGGTGTTTTTTTAGAATGACACAAACCCTGATGGGATGTGGCTGTGGAGAAGAATTGCGGCAAACCCCTTCTCCCAGGTCATGAGGCCACACAGAATTTTTAGCCAAATAAAGCAGCTCCACTTCCAGCTGAGAAACCCTGCGGCACAAGCGCCCACCACCCACGGCAGCTGCTGGGCGAGAGGATGCTCCCCCTCCCTGGTGGAAAAGGAGCTGGCGCCACCTCCTAAGGCAGAGCCAATGTGCCTGTGCATCGTGCCCCGGTTTGTAACATCTGTTCAGCGCTAGTCCAACCCAAGGCTGATACGACTCGTGTTATGAGGTCATTACTGTAACTGCACAGGAACTGTTGGGGTTTTTTGGGGGAGGTGGGGAGGGTGGTTTGCACAGTGAGTGGGTCAGAAAACGTGTTTGCCTCCGCTGGGTGCAAACAGGAAGGTTGCTTTGAATAAGGTTTCAAAAAGATCCAGCAATCCAAGTCCTGTCTGTCAAATTCAGAAAGGAGTTGGAGATGTTTCTGGAGGAGAAGAAAATACCAAGACACAGGCACTATATATAGACGTCCCTGTGAAGGTGGCGACGTTGGAGTGCAGTGTATTTTTATCCCAATAGAGGTGTTATCTGTCTATCTCCCATGAAATGCTGGAGGGGGGTGTTACAGCACTCAGTTCATGCGAAGAGAAAATAGCCGAAGTCACAGTTAAATTTGTGTGGTCTGTGTTTTCTAAAGGCAAGCTGTCATACTCAGAATTTTTCTCCTCTGGCTCGCTGCCCTGTATTTGTTGCATGACAAAGTTCATCATCCAAGTAGCTGTTTAGTGGCCTGGACAGATTTTTGCCGTGTGTAGGGTACAGTTTAGGTCTGCTACTCATCAGAGAAGTATGGGAGTTTTGTGTATACCTCAGCACACATGATCTTTCTGTTCTCTCACCAGCGGCAAAGACGTGTTTAGCTTACGTTGGGGCTGAAGCCAGATAAGAAGGATGCTTCAGCACAAGACGTAACCACATCTGGCACATGCCAGGGGCGGTTCCTAAGAGTTCAAAGGCTTCAGTGTAGATTATTTACGCATTCACCTCCTAGCAAATCCTTTTATTCTTAAATTCCAGACAGTTTATTATGTGGAGATCCTGAAAATCCAAAGTCTTGTCCTCTCTGCATAGATGCTAAAGATCTTAAAACCCGGCCAGACGTCCCAGGAGCAGCTACCAGGCAGTGCCAGTGGCCTCTCTGCAGCACTTCCCGAGCGACTGCTCCCACGGCGGCTGCTCAGGGCCTGTCTGCTCCCCGCACAGGCGCAGCCTGGGTACAGATGCACACGGACGTGCCCATGTGCACAAACCCAGAATGTGCCCACCCCATGTTAGCACGTAGGAAGTGGATTCAAAAGTGATTTAAATGCTAGCAAATAAGAAATAGTTTGGGATGGGCTGTAACTAGAATATTCCTGTTTTTTTAAGGACTGGCTCTGTGAAACTCCTGACTGCAAACTGAGTATTGTATTATTGCTATTTCAGCAGCTCTGCTGGGGCCTGCTCGCACTTCCCTCTCAGAATGATACGAGTTCTTGGCTTGCTTGCTGATGAGGGGATTTATTTTACTTTTTTGGCTTCATGGATGCTCATGAGGATGAAGAGCAAAAAGCTGGCAAGGAAACATCTCTACTGAGAAGAGAAACTTTGATCAAACTTGTGATTTTCTCAGCTCCATGGAGCAAAGGAAGTTTATTTATAGAACGGCTTTTTTGGTAAAAACAAAACACGTCCTGTATCCTGCTTTTGATGGCGTATCTGGCTGCAATGCAGCATGGTGCACGTCAATTTTATTTGCTTTGTAGCATGAAGCGGTGTAGAGTATTAGCGGTCTAGTGCAGATTGGGGCAGTCTTTCTTTGGAGAGCACACGACCTTCCACTGCAGTTGCAAATGAATACCGCATTTAAGAGTACCCAGGAAGGCTACTGCGGTGGGATTAACTGTGGTGGAGCAGGACTGCATGATAGCTGTTATCACTGTTGATTCTTGACAAAAAGCATCTACTCTGAGGTTCAAATCATTTGGAGGCCTGTGCTCACGCAGATTACTTCAGATGAATACCCTGAAACTTAAGCACTCTAACAACAACAAGTTGTCCTTATTACTGCCTTGTTTCTCTGCACCGCACAGGCACTTCCAAACAAGTCCTTTCTACTGCCGGGTGAAGAGCTGCTATTACCGGGTACCAGTTCAGGGGAGGGTCCGTAGGCATTAACAGCCCACTAGAGCAGCCAAAGCAACGTGTGGTCCCGTCTGCGTGTATTTAAAACCACCAAAACCAAAACATGACTAATACGTTGCATTCTTCACCTTGCAGCCGAGGACTCCAAAGTGTTTTATAATTAATTAACTAATTAAGTCTAAAAGCATTTCAGAGTAACGTGTTTCATACCCCCTCACCAGAGGGGCATAGGGTGTCAGAGGGCTATCTCAGTGCTGCGCCCCAGCGCTGCGGGGAGCCGCTCTGCAGCCACAGCCCTCTCGCTCACTACTTCTGCTGATTCCCAGGAGTTTGGTCTTAAAATGCTTTTGGGAGCTGCAAACTGATGGATGTTGCCATTATATAATATCAACAACAAGTTCCCACCTGTCCTGAGAAGTAGTTAAAGAAATGTGAAACGGGTGAGAGAGAAGAAAAACAGACGAGCGTGTTTGTGCTTTTTTATCTGAGGCTGAGGGAGTCCAGTTGGAGGAACTACAGACCTTCTCATTTTCAGCTGAAATGCCGCCCATCGCGACAGTGGCTGAAAACTGTCGCTGCCTGATGGTTCGTACCTGGCACGAACGGCATCAGCAGCTCCCCGCAGCTCCCCGGGAGAGCTGGTTCACAGCGAGGGGCCTCGCTGGCTGCGGCTCTGCTGCTC